GAGGAGGCGCTGAAGGAGGTGAGAAATCCCAGCCTTCTGATCTTGAAAGGAGTGTGCTCCATCTCCTATCCGGTCGAACCCTTGAGGAGGCGCAGAAGGAGGTGAGAAATCCCAGTCTTCTGATCTTGAAAGGAGTGTGCTCCATCTCCTATCCGGTCGATGGAGAAACGGTGGATGTGGTAGTGGGCCAATTTAGCACTGACTGAAGTACTCTAAGACAGAATTCGAAAGTAAATTCAAATGCTAAATAAATGAGTGAATAGCTCTGCGTGGAGCGAATGCTGCTGATTTCCACGTCCTTTTTGTCGGATGCCGACTTCTCTGACGGTGAAAATCGGTGCTGGCAGTACGCCCTCACGATTAATCTCTGAATAATGATTTAAATGGCCTGTCTTTGTTTACTGACAGTGCAATGACAAAATGCTCTTATCAGTCTTATCACCTTTATTTTGATAGTGTTGCAATCACCAGATCTCACAAATGCCTGTGTGGTCAGAAGTTCATTTTTTCACAAGGATTACTTTGTTACCTCATGTCACTCATTGCAGATTGCGAGAATGCTTGACAGCTTATCTGGTTCCGATCTCCTTATTTAAAGCTTCATATTTGCAGGTAAATTTGTGACTGGACGATGTATCGTGCCCTTCTCTTCCTGGCTTCGATTCCACTCTTCTATTCTGTGCCGGTATCCATTCGTCCGAAAAAGCCCATCGTTGGGGCATTATGGAATCTGGGGCAAATGGGCGAGTGTGAACTTCATTACCACCCTCTGGTGAGTTTTTCCTTGCGGTAACGTTTCCGTCATTTCTTTAGATCGTTGTAGATATGCATGCCATATATCAGAAACATTTATTAGTCCTTCCATAATTTTTTTTTTCAAGTTTCGTTTTATTATCGACCAGATTTCAGTAGCCCCAAAAACAGTGCAGTTGAAGGCACTGATCACGTTAGAAATGTCCGTGGGCATGACACCCGGGCATACCCACGACGATTAACGGCATAGCCAGTTGCCCTATTCCTAGCGCAGGCTTAGCCAAGGGGTCAACCGTACAAGTAAAAAAAACATAGGGGTCGCGGCCGGCCCAAGGAGGGTGTCGTAAGCGCTGGACTGCAACGGAAACCGTGGCAAATCCTTACAAATCAAAGATGGTGGTGCAAGAAATAAGCCTTCAAATCACTTAGCAAATTCGAAATGTTGGTGTGGGCGTGGCGAATCTCACAGCAGGATGTGGTGGAGCTGCAGAGTCAGCGGACGAGTCGCAGCGCGTGCGCCCTGATTTCGCGATCAGTTAAAGCAACAGTCCAGGCAGGGTTTCAACTACTTGGTCATTAGGCGGTCAAAACATGCCCCAGCCCAACTAAAGTTTATAGGAAATGTCTTTAATTTCAAAACCTACCTCTAAAATGCGCTGGAAGGGGTCGAAGTCCTCTTGGAGGGGCGGATCACCCATACCGAGGCGGATCGCCCAACATACGCTGTGCAGAGTCGCTTGACTAGCGTCGCGGGACCGCCGCGCTGTATGAGGTCGATTCCATAAGAACGCAATTGAAGCGCTTCAATTTCGATTGCTGGCAAATAGTTATGTATTTGCAAGCATGCATGGCTATTTGCCAGCAGTTGCAATTGGAGCGCATGTACTACGGGCAGGTTCGGACAACTCGTCCAACACACGTCTCCCTAAACGGCAGGGGGAGTCCCTGTCTAAGCCCCTGCCCGACGTTTTTTTCTACTTTTTCTTTCTCCATTGACCAACTTCTCACCTGCAACGTCATTATAGGTGGTCCTTACCCGCGAATTCGTTCCTGGATTGTTGCTTTAAGATAAAAGTACCGTTGTAACGTGCTATCTCCACATACACCCATTGCGACTCATCCGCTGATATCTGCTCTTGCGCGCGACGGGCCTCTTGTCGGGAACCCGCGCTTTCCAGAGTCTGGTCACCTTTGGGATCCACAGAAGAGCATACTCCATCCAGCGCGACCCTGGAATATAACTTTAAAGGCAGGTGGAACGATGAATTTGGTGTTGAAAAATAGGAATACCGTCCTAGGAGACTCCAGATACCAGGCGAGACCTCACCCGCGGTGACGATAGCCCTCGCAAGCCACCTTCAAGTGGGGAATACCGCCTATGAGTGGTCGATGGTGAGGGGTCACCGACTGTGGCGGGAGAAACTAGAGAGGCAGATCTAGGCGTTCACATTGATAACGTCATCTGTCATGGAATCCCGTCTCCGAAGCAAAGATGGGGTTTTTCGTGGACTTCAGCTGTTTCCTTTATTCGTCACCACAATTACACCATTTACCCCCTCAGCCTTCATTTACAACAGCGATCAGTTATGGTGCCACTGCTTTTAGGTTGAACCTTCACTAGTGCGCATTCTAACAAAATTTAAAGACTGCAAGATGGCTTCGGACACATTGTTCAAAAGATCCGAAAAAGACGGAACATGCTTGGTAAGACTCCGAGAACAATTGGGTTATTTTCAGTGCTACAACAATTATGGCTGTTGGTGTGGTGTTGGAGGATCACACGAGCCGGTCGATGGCATTGACAGGTACGAGCTGTTCCTATTGTCGATATGAAAATCACAGGGAAGCCCACAGCAGTTGAATGAGGGGTTGCTCCAGCGTATATGAGGTGGGAAATGATCCGTGTGGATGGCGTGGAAGAAAAAAACCGCGCGACTATGTGAATTTATAACATCTCAAACAGAAGAGCGTCATGAAACAGAAAATAGCATAAGGGGAGTTTTACGCTCGGGAGTCAGAGGGGGTCCTCGTTCAAACGCTTCGTCAGTGGTTTGCTTTGAATTTTTTTTTCATTTTCTGCCAACTCGGCATCCAGTTTCATTATTCCGCTACCACTCCACGAATTTAATCTGGGGTTGTTGCACTCCCCTCTCACTCATGCACTTCCCTCGCTCACGTTTTCTTGCGTAGGATGTCTCAAGCTGGAACTAACTGTCCTTTAGCCTTTCGCGTTTCAGGAAGTGTCAGTGTGCTGCCCTCCTCTGCGCCCTTTCGCCTAAATACTGTAATCACTGTCCTTAAGCCTTTCGCGACAGAGACCATGGAGGAAAGCCCAACTTCCACATGACCCCCACGCTTAAGCCCCTGCAGCACGGAAAGTGCCTCTCCCACACCCTCTCTACCCCCTCGGTCCCACCTTGAACTGCCTCTATTCGCTCCTGGCTCCACAGCTTCCATTTCGCACCATTAGAAGACGAAGCAGGTGACGTACACTAGTCATTCGGGCTCTAGCCTTTTCGAAAGAGAACATAGAGAAATGTTCAAGAAGTAATGTAATCGTGAACGCATGCATCTAGATGGGGTTCAGTTAAAGGCATGCCCCAGGATCACATTGGTGTGGCTCTTGCACACGAATGCGAATGTATTGGTGCGAAATGGGCCGGCAGTAAAGAAAAAAGGAAAAGAATCCGTCGAAAACGCTTAGGTTAAGGGCTCACTCACCTTCCTAATCGGCTGTGCTAAGGGAATGAGAGACTAAGCGCGGAGAGGAGAGTATGGGCGAGAGAGCGCTACAGATGAGAGAGCGCCAGACAACAGCCTGATAAGAGAAAAAATCTGCAGCTTCAGCAGCTTACTTTGCAAGGCCCAAGCGCTCTTGTCGGTTGGTTTCCGTGCACGGGAACGCCACATTTGTGATTGTCCTCTAGGGGTCTATACTACAGACCGAAGGGAAGCGTTCACACTTCTGGGCCGTAAGGTATGCTTCCCCGAAGGGTTAGGGGACGAAATCCCTTTAAATTTTCTCTGTCTTCCCAACTGGGATTGTCCTGATAAAGGGCCTACATTTAATATATGTGTGTAGGTTAAAGTAAACATGCACTGAAAATGAAGAAACAGTATCGTTCAAAACAAAAAATTTAAAGGGATTTCGTCCCCCAACTATTCGGGGAAGCATACCTTACGGCCCCTGCCTGGGTTGTGACTTTGAGTGTTCAGTTAGCCCCAGCGAGGAGGGGGGATTGCATCAAGTGAAATATGTATTGTACTGGGGAGAGGGACAGAAGAATTTATAGGAGGCAGAAGATCTTGACAAAGTCAAGGAGATGTTTGAATTTTTTGCCGTTACACTAAGCTTAAAGGAATCTTCCGCGGAAAAAGCTCCGCCTCCATTACCACAGAAAAACGATACCCCTTAGGCCCCTAGCCTCATGAGCATAGCAAAAAGAACGGAACATAAGCGTTAGTTTCGATAATACTAATCCTACACACAAGACAAAATGATCACTCTTTCCGTGGAAGATTCCTTTAAGGTATCGTTTTCTGTGGTAATGAGGGCGGAGCTTTTTCCGTGGAAGATTCCTTTAATCATGCGTTCAAGCGAATTGTAAGTCATGTGGTGTTCAATCGAAAAGGAGGTCTACTGCCTCTGGAATTTATTTATTATTTATATATTTATATACTCAAGTGAGTACCACTGTCGTTGAGCACTAGACCAAAGGCAGAAGCGAAGAAAGCTTGAATGAAAAGTAATAGTGAAAGTAAACGGCCAAGCTGAAGAGGG